ATTTTTTATCATCAGAGGACACTTCTGCAAACCAAACCAGGCCATCATTTTATCTATGACCTTCTTAATATGTAAATTAGAATAGTATTCTAAGCCTAAACATTAAATTTTAAACTTTGAGATTGCAAATCTTATACACATCTCATTCTTATGAAACCTCCTCTGTGATAACATTTTAAAAACAACCTAAGTTTTGAATAACACAACAACCTAATTGTCTGTTAATGGATGAATGGATGAATAAGATGTGATATATATATTATTATATATATATAATATGATTGTATATATACTGGAATAATATTCAGCCATGACAAAAAAGAAATCCTGTCATTTGTGACAACATGGATGGACCTGGAGGGTTTATTATGCTAAGTGAATTAAGCCAGACAGGGAAACACAGATATTGCATGTTATCACTTATATGTGAAATCTGAAAAATGAAAGTCCAATTCACAGAAGCAGAGAGTAGGAAAGTAGTTGTCAGGGACTGGAGGGTAGGGGGAGTAGGGTGAGGTTGGTAAAAAGGCACAAACTTTCAGCTATAAGATGAACAAGGTCTGAGAATCTAATGTATAACATGGTGACTATAGTTGATAACACTGTATTGTATAATTGAAATTTGCTGAGGGAGTAGAACTTAAATGTTCTCACCAAACAACAACAACAAAAAAGATAAATATCTAAGGTGGTGGATGTATTAATTAACTAGATGGGAGGAATCCTTTCACAATATATATGTATACCACAATGTACACTTTAAATATCTTACAATTTTATTTGTCAGTTATATCTAAATGAAGCTGAAAAAAAACCCAAGTAACAAACACCCTGGTTCATAGAGTATAATTAATGAGGTAACATTTGAAATGGGAAAATGACAAAAATTGTTTCTAAAGAATAACTCTTCCACACTGTTGGTGAGAATGTAAATTGGTACAACTACTATGAAGAATAGTATGGAGTTCCTTAAAAAACTAAAAATAGAACTACCATATGATCCAGCAGTCCCACTCCCAGAGAAAAACATGATCCGAAAGGACACATGCACCCCAATGTTCATTGCAGCACTAATTACAGTAGCCAAGACATGGAAGCAACCTAAATGTCCATCGACAGAGGAATGGATAAAGAAGATGTGGTACATATATACAATGGAATATTACTCGGCCATAAAAAAGAATGAAATAATGCCATTTGCAGCTACATGGATGGACATAGAGATTATCATAGTAAGTGAAGTAAGTCAGACAGAGAAAGACAAATATCATATGATATCACTCATATGTGGAATCTAATTTTTTTAAAAAAGAAACAAATGAATTTATTTACAAAACAGAAACAGACTTAAAGATATCCAAAACAAACTTATGGTTACCAAAGGGGCAATGTGGAGGGGGGGAGGGATAAATCAGAAGCTTGGGATAAACACACACACACTACTATATATAAGATAGATAACCAACAAGGACCTAGTGTATAGCACAGGGAACTCTACTCAATATTCTGTGATAACCTATATGAGAAAAGAATCTAAAAAAGAATGAATATATGTGTATGTATAACTGAATCACTTTGCTGTACAGCAGAAACTAACACAGCATTGTAAATCAACTATACTTCAGTTGAAAAAAAAAATAACCCTTAGGGTGAGGTCTCCAATAACTAGTTAGAGTAACTAATTAATTGACTAGTTAGAGTAGAGGTTTGCTATCCTCAGGTACACTGTGGTTTTGAAATGATCACTCTCTCTGAGTATACAAATATGGGAACCAGTCAGATTTTTTCTGTGTCCACTTTTGTATAAGTAAGCATTCTTTAGGCTACAAGAAAATGTGTGGTAATAAAATTCTAAAATGTTTACATTTCCTGCTCAGTTAAAGTAGTGTTTTAAAGTGGCCTGCATAATTAATAATAGTGATTACTATTATTACTCTAATAATAGCTAACATCTCTCAGGGGCTTGTTATAAGACAGCCACTGTTGTAAGCACTTTACTTAGATTATCTTTTCATTTACTGTGTCGCATAACTCTAGAAGGTATAGGTATTATTACTAGTCCCATTTTACAGATGAAGAAACTAAGGCACAGGGGGGTTAACTTCCCAGGGAGGTTAATGTGTGGCAGAGCCAGAATTTGCACCTAGGCAGTCTGATTCCAGAGCCTGTACCGGCAAGCACACTGCCCAGTACTGCTGCCCACAGACTAATCACCCTTCTGCTTACATTTTGAGGCAACTGATGTGCTAATATGTCATCTGGGCCTAGTTGCAGGAAAGAGCAACCGCTCTAGCATTTTAATTCGTTTGCAGAATCATTGGAAAGGCTGAGAGGAGTGGGCTCTGGGCTGGGCCTTCAGAAATTATTCCCAGGACCAGACTGCCAAACAGGGCCTCCAAGGGAGGGAATCGGGAGGCCACCACTGGCACTTCTGAGTTCCAGATGACACTGCTCACTGCAATTCAAGGGTCAAGAAATTGCTATTCTGAAACTGCCCCTTAACACCCACCAGCTGGTCACGGCTGTGTCCACCAAACTTGTCTCTTGACAACCATGAGGCTCTGGACACTGGAATGCTGCAGAAAAACCCAATGTTTCCGTAAATGTGCTTGCCAGCATTAACAGCCAGAGCAGCAGAAAGGTGGCTCCCACCTCATTTCTGCCTCCAAATCTCACGGAAGAACATTGATAGATGGGCCCCATTCCACGTGGGGAAACGTAACTGTAAAGGAGTCTGGGAAATGGTCTTTTTAATTTTCCACAAGGAAGTTAGAAAGGATGCTGGGGGTTAATACACAAATCTACTCTTAACTAATTTCTGCCAGGGTAGAACTTGGTTATCGCTAAAACTGACATTTCATCAAGTACGTATAAACTGTTTTGGGTACAGACAATGTTCAGAAGTCAGTTCTCTTAAAAAGCCTCAGAATTAATTTTGCTTGCCACTGTACAGACCCAGTACACTGCACAGTGCTAGTTAGTGCTCTTAAGTAGCATTGTTGAAATAGTGACATTAAAGCTATCAAAGTGAATACCCTTTACTAAGTGCCCTCCTCGCTCACTGGGGTAGATGAGCTTTTAGGGTCGGGAGGAGTTGTTCTCAAAAGTTATTTGCTTTTTATAAAGCAGAAACTAACACACCATTGTAAAGCAATTATACTCCAATAAAGTTGTTAAAAAAAAAAAGTTATTTGTTTTGTTCCTCCGAGTACAGAATCCTAGTTTACCCCTAAATTAGATCCTGCTGTTTTAATTATGGGTATTTCTTAAAATCCTTTTCATAGCCAATTCTATTCTTTGCTGTACTTTAAATGTAAACACATAAAGAGTGTTGATAAACCACTGTAAGAGGTTTGCTGCTTCCCAACTCCATCACCTTTTGCTCTTAGTTTGTTTTTGTCCCTTTGTTTAAAAAACAAAATTTAGGGGCTTCCCTGGTGGCGCAGTGGTTGAGAATCTGCCTGCTAATGCAGGGGACATGGGTTCAAGCCCTGGCCTGGGAGGATCCCACATGCCGCGGAGCAACTAGGCCCATGAGCCACAACTACTGAGCCTGCGCTCCGCAACAAGAGAGGCCGCCATAGTGAGAGGCCCGCGCACCGCGATGAAGACTGGCCCCCGCTTGCCACAACTAGAGAAAGCCCTCTCATAGAAACGAAGACCCAACACAGCAAAAATTAATTAATAAACTCCTACCTCGAACATCAAAAAAAAAAAAAATTAAAAGAAATTTTTTTTTTAAATCTCCCATTCTTCCCACATACAAAGACTGTGGGACTTGTTTCTTCTTAAATAAACTTTGCCAATCATAAGAGGAAATCACGTGACACTTTATGGAATACTCAGATCATCTTGGCTATTTTCTCTTTTGGTTGCTGTTCAAAAAAATTTTTTTGTAAACTTCTAGGTCAGTGTTTTAAACAGCAGTGTTTTGAATGGTTTAAGTTGCCAGAATTTCGACCTTCTCATGGGTGGATAGCTGATGCATTTGTTTTACTAACTAAAGTATATTTGAGCAGTTCTCTTTTCTCTGGTGGTGTTTTCAGGATGCTCATTTAAAAGTTATTTCATTTTGTTTTCTTCTTTATATCTCCCTGTATTTTTAAAATTTTCTGTAAGTATATAATACTTTTATAATCAGAAAAAAACATATTATTTTAAAAAGTGATTTCATTAATTTACTCAGAATTATTTTGGTGGGAATTCTTAGCTTAATTCATTGATTTAAAAAGCATTAAATTCATTTTTCCACTACCTATGGACATAAAGCTTTAACAGTCACTACATTAACAAAACTTCATGGTCAATGAACAAAATAGTTGAACAGATTTTGTTTTTTGGTAATGAAAAAGGTTTGGAATATAGTAGAAACTGAAACATTTTTAATACACGTTGTTGCAGCTCCTCTCGCAAATTGTGGTACACTGTAGTACAATCTGGCAAATTGAATGATAGATCTGGGTGACTGCAGTGCGGCTTTCTGAACATATGTAGTAGGACTTTTTTCCCCCACTTCCCTCTTAACGATAGAGTTTTAAAGAAATGTTTAACTTTTCAAGTTGAATCTTTAAAGCTATTCTGTTTGGTTTTCTTGCAAATCATATTGATGCCACTTGCAGGAAAAGAGTAATAGAACATATGTTGCTGTCTTGGTATTTCATCTATTGGCCTGCCTTTGAATAGCTGTTGTCTTAAGAAGTTTATTTTATTCTCAAAGTTAAAAAGTATGTTTGCTTTCAGTTTGCCATAATTTAATTTTGGAAATCTTTTCTTGCAGATTTTAATTTTAAGTTTTGGGTTATAAATAGGTAGATAGGTGGATAAGATTCCCGTCAGCTAATATTCTGTGCCAGATGATCTATTTTTGTATGCTAAAAAATGATACCTGATAAATGCTCCCTTATAATTTATTTGAATAAATATTTATTATGTACCTTAGCAGATGTTTCTGTCTCTTATTACAAAAGTTCATTGTAAATAGCTCTTTTCTGTCTCTACAGGACAATCCTTCATACACAGACTTGGAATCTTCCCTTTTTTTACTCCATTCAATCAACTTAGCAGGGTTTCAAGAGCAGCATTTATAAATTTCCAGGTATGAAAAATTTTAATTCTTGATGTTATACCTGACTTAAATATATAGATAAAAAGTAGAGTTTTGCAATTATAGATTTTATGTATCAGAGTATGGGTTTATTGCTTGAAAAGTCACTGTATAAAACATTCAGCATTCTGATTTTCTTGGCCAGGTCTCCCTGTTCAATTATGGCTAAGTTTTTAATTCATTGCCTATCTTGTGTATGTATTTCTTCCATTCTGCTTGAATCAAAGACTCAAATTTACATAAGAGCTGGAGTTTATCTAGACCAATACCCTCAATTTGCAGAGAAGGAAATGAAACTTAGAAAGGGAAAGTTACTTGTCCATGGACATATAGCTAATTTAGTGGTAGAACTAGTGTCAGAACTCTGATCTCCCAGCTCTCCCCGAGACATTGTTCAAGGAGTATAGCTCATCAGTTACATCCTGCAGCTTTGGAGTCACTGTCTGGGTTAATATCTGCCCATCCCACCTTTTTTTTTGGCCTTGCTGCGGCTTATGGGATTTTAGTTCCCCAGCCAGGGATTGAACCTTGGCTCTCAGCAGTGAGAGCACAGAGTCCTAGGAAGTCCTAACCATTGGACCACCAGGGGATTCCCCGGGTTAATACCCTTTTCTGTAAGATGGGGCTAGCAATACCATCTACCTGATAGGTTGCTGTGTGTCAGGATTCAGGAGACAGTGCACATTGCTACTATTATTATTGCTGTGGCCCTTTCATTTCTCACCGTGTTGACCCCTTCACTGCTTCTTAAAGCTCCCCACCCTCCGTGTACATGTCACATGCTCTCCTGATTCTCCCTGTAATTCTCTGACTATAACTCTGGCTTCTCTTCCGCATTCTGCTCCACGGTCGGCACAGTCCTCCTGGTTCTTTCCTCAGCCCGGATTTCCTCTGAGCCCCTTCATCTCTATTTGCAAATATCTCCCACGTCTCCACCTTCAAGTCTGACTTCCCCTCTTAAACTTCAGACTAGCATTTACAGTGGCCCTCTGGCCACGGCTACCTGATTTCCCACTCACATCAAACACCGTGTACTTAAAACCTAAGTCATTGCTTTTTCTCTAACCTGGCTTTCTTCCTCCTGGCTTCCTAATTTCTGTTAGTGATACTACTAAACACCTATGTTTTTAAAATCGCTGTGTTCTCTTTATGTCTCTCTAGACTTCCACAGCCAATTACAAATCGTGGTACACTTTGGTACAATTAGGCAAATCGAATAAGAATTATAAGAGCTCTGGGGACTACTGTGGGGCTTTCTGAAAATATGTAGTAAGATTTTTCAATCAGCCATCAAGACCCATGGATTTATTTCCCATTCAAGACATTTGTGTCTTTTCCTTCCTTCCCATTCCTGTCATCATCACTGTGTTCAGACCAGTAAGCAGATTGACAATTGCAATAGTGTAGCTGTTTGTTCATCTGGCAGTAGCTTGGTTGTTCTCTCTGTCTCTCGCTCTTTTTCTCCCAAGAAATACAACCTCTTAACATTTCATAATGGAATGTCATCTTGTCACTTGTTCATGTAGCACATGAATCTTGACTTAAGTAGACACAGAATATCATTACTCTGAGAGCTCCCAAGATATCTTAATCTTGAATTACAACCTAGATCTGGCTAAATATGAGACTGATAGTTAATATTTCACCCACTTGTTTGACACACTTTAAAATTTTTATTTTTGAGTATATATTCATATGATTCAAACTCAAAATATTGGGACTTCCCTGGTGGCACAGTGGTTAAGAATCTGCCTGCCAATGCAGGGGACATGGGTTCGAGCCCTGGTCCGGGAAGATTCCCACATGCCGCAGAGCAACTAAGCCCATGTGCCACAACTACTGAGCCTGCGCTCTAGAGCCTGTGAGCCACAGCTACTGAGCCCACGTGCCACAACTACTGAGCCCGCGTGCCACAACTACTGAAGCCCACGTGCCTAGAGCCTGTGCTCTGAAACAAGAGAAGCCACCACAATGAGAAGCCTGTGCACCGAAACGAAGAGTAGCCCCCACTTGCTGCAACTAAAGAAAGCCTGCGTGCGGCAACAAAGATCCAATGTAGCCCAAAAAAAATAAATAAATAATTTTAAAAAATTTTAAAAAAACTCAAAATATTAAAAAAGTATACCATATAAAGTCTCCCTTCCATCTTTGCCTCTGTCTCCCAGGTCCCACCTTGCCTCCAACTGTCAACCATCATCCTGGTTTCTTGTTAATCCTTCCAGAGTTTCTGCTTTTTTCCCTTGTATTTTGTGTGTGTATACACACACACACACATATACTCTGTTCCTTGCTTTTTAAAAATTTTTTATTATTTTAAACATTTATTTTTTTGGCTGCGTTGGGTCTTAGTTGTGGCACGTGGGGTCTTCGTTGAGGTGTGCAGGATCTTTCGTTGCGGTGTGGGCTCTTCGTTGTGGCATGCGGGTTTTCTCTCTCTAGTTGTGGCGCATGGGCTCCGGGGTGCGTGGGCTCTGTAGTTTGCAGCAGGCCGGCTCTCTCGTTGAGGTGTGCAAGCTCAGTTGTTGCAGCACATGGGCTTAGTTGCCCCTCGGCATGTGGGATTTTAGTTCCCCGACCAGGGATCAAAGCCGCATCCCCTGCATTGGAAGGCGGATTCTTTACCACTGGACCACCAGGGAAGTCCCTGTTCCTTCCCTTTTTTAAAAAAACTTAACTATGTGTATCATGTATCATATGTGTCATGTATGTATCATAGCCATCTTTCCATCTGACTGTCCTCCCCTACTGACGGACATTTTTCTAGTCTTTTGCTATTCCAAACAGTGCTGCAGTGAATAACTATGTACATGTGTCACTTTGATCATGTACCAGTATACCTGTAGGATAAATTCCCAGAAGTGAAATTGCTTGGTCAGAGAATATATGCATTCATAATTTTGAGAACTGTGGCCAAATCGCCTGCCATGGGGTCATACCAATTTATATTCTTGCCAGTAAAGATTGAAAGTACCTGCTTTCCCACAGTCTTATCAATATTATCAAATGTTTGGATTTTTTTGCTCATTTGAGAGAGGAAAAATGAAACATCAGTGTAGTTTTATTTTTTTTTCCACATCTTTACTGGAGTATAATTGCTTTACAATGTTGTGTTAGAGTATAGTTTTAATTTGCATTTATATTTTTATGGCTGAGGTTGAACATCCTTTCATATGATAAGGGACATTTGTATTTCTTTTTCTGTGAACTATCCTTTGTCTTATTTTATCTTCGGTTACTGTGCCAATTTCTTAGAAGCTTGGTGTATATTATGGAGATTGCCCTTTCTCTAATAGACATTTTTGCCATGTTGTTATTTGTCTTTTGCCTTTTTGTGATTTTTTCTGCCATAGAGAATTTTGTTTTATCTTTATGTAATTAAATGTATCAATCTTTTCTTTTATGGCTTTTGTATTTGAGTCATGGTTATAAAGGCCTTTCCCACTTTGAGTTTATAAATCTTCCAAATGTTCTCTTAGCACTTTTATGGCCTTATTTTCACACTTAAGTCTTTGACCCATATGTAATTTATCTTGATATGCGATGGGAGGTGAAAATCCAGCTTAATTTCTTTTTCCAGAAGGCTAAAAATTGTCCCAGTGCCACATAGTAAGTTGCTTATCTTTTTATTGTTCATCATATATTAAATTCCCGCATATACTGGGGTACATTTCTGGATTTCCTAGTATACTCCACTGGTCTGTCCTTCTCTCTCTTTCTTTTTAAATAAATTTATTTATTTATTTTTGGCTGTGTTGGTCTTCATTGTGGTGCGCAGGCTTCTCATTGTCGTGGCTTCTCTTGTTGTGGAGCACGGGCTCTAGGCAGGCAGCCTTCAGTAGTTGTGGCATGTGGGCTCAGTAGTTGTGGCTTGCAGGCTCTAGAGCTCAGGCTCAGTAGTTGTGGCACACGGATGGACCTAGTTGCTCCACGGCATGTGGAATCTTCCCGGACCAGGGCTCGAACCCATGTCCCCTGCATTGGCAGGTGGATTCTCAACCACCACGCCACCAGGGAAGCCCTGAATGAATACTCTTTTTGTTTGTGGTAATTTTACAGTTGATTCTGTTGCATTTTCCAGGTATACAATCATCTTATCTGAAAACAATGGTAATTTTACCTCCTACACTCCAGTGTTCCTTTCTGTAGTTTCTTTCTCTAGTCTAATTGCATTGGCTAATGTCTCCAGAACAGTGTTAAATAATATGTAGTGGTAATAGAGGGCATCCTTGTTCTGTTGCTGACTTTACTGGGATGCTTCTATTAAGATGCTGGGTTTGGGGCTAAAATAGATATATTTTATCACCAACAAACTTTTAATAGATTGTAGACCAGACTCTGTGCCATAAAATGGGGATTAAAAAAAGATGAGTATGACTCCACCTGCCTTCAAAGAGTTTACAGGAAAAGACAGACACAAAAATTAGTGTGATATGTGTCACAGTAAAGTTATGTATAGTACACAGTGGGGACACAAAAAAAGGTGATAGCTAATCAGCTTGAACCCCATGTCAAGATAAAATTCCAAAGGACAGTGTACTCAAAGCATATTAGCTTAGCTTGCCTTTGAAATGTTTTTGTTGAATTAATTATAGTATGTCCTTGACTTTATTTTATTTTTAGTTTTTAAATATTTATTTATTTATTTAGGCTGCACTGGGTCTTAGTTGCAGCACACGGGATCTTCACTGGGGCATGCAGAATCTTCAGTTGCGGCACATGAGCTCTTAGTTGTGGCATGCAGACTTCTTAGTTGTGGCATACATGCGGGATCTAGCTCCCGACCAGGGCTCGAACCCAGGCCCCCTGCATCGGGAATGCGAGTCTTACTCACTGGACCACCAGGGAAGTCCCAGGACGTCCTTGACTTTAGAGGCAACAAAGAACCTTTGTTAGTTCAGGACTTTCCTGGTGGCGCAGTGGTTAAGAACCCGCATGCCACTGCAGGGGACGTGGCTTCGAGCCCTGGTACGGGAATATCCCACATGCTGCGG